ATGACATGTGATAGTCACTAAAAGGACAGTCTTAGTCAGTGTTACAGTACCTAGAGATAGGTAAAGCTTGTAAGGTAGTATCATCAGATCTAGGTAGATCTTGTCATGAAACATTAATCACTACACCTTGGAAATCGGATCGGTAGCATAAACCGATCCGAAGTCCTGCAGCAGCTAAAAATACGGAGCAGATTCAACCCGACGCTACAGATCTTATCTGCTCTAATGTATGTAGGTACGGTAATTTGAGTCGGCCGCCAAGTGTAATACACCTCCATAAAGACAACACGGACACGTTCCAGAAGCGGAAATGCCCTGTAAGCGAGCAGTAGAACCCGAGCCAACGCGAGAAAAGCGAGGAAAACGAGCTAAACAAGCATTTCCAACGTTGAAATAAGCGGATCTGCACCCGGGAATAGACATAACCGGGCCTTGGCATTCGCATCACCACTACCTAGTCACTCGAATTTAACCTACAAATTAGTTAGTTACTGTCACTGTATCTTCAGTGCTTAATGTCCCGAAGTCCGGGTGTTGGTTGGTCCCGTAAAATCCGGAGGAATTGATGGGTTGGGTCGTAATGAGAAATATGAATGGATCGAGTCAGCAACGATGGATCTTGTTGTATGCACGTACCGTAATCATATTCGGCCTAGGTATCTTTACACCTTCTTCCTTCCTTTCTTTACCCTTCTTCTCCTTCTTCTCTTTTCGTCTTCTCTTTCTGTTTCTTCATGAAACAAGGATTCTTTCCATACAAGCGGGTCGTTTGAAACTAACCCACAAGTCATCATCATCATCATCATCATCATCATCATCATACACACACAGACCAAGAGGCAAATATTAGTGACAACCACTGCCCTCTCTTCATCTACTTGGCATTTCTTTACCTTTACATACCGAGTACTACACCGAGACAGCTTCACAAAATGTACGAGTTGTACGCTCGTCGGCCGGCGAGTTTCGACGACTGTACCGATATCACCGCGCTCTGCCCTGTTAGCGCAACCGTTCTCGGTTATGTTCCCAACAAAGGATCCAGTTACTTCTTTACAATCTGCTTTGCGATTCTATTCCTGTCTTCTGTAGGATTGGGTGTTTGGAAGAAGACATGGACATATGCCGCGACTCTCGGAGCTGGTTTACTGCTAGAGACTATTGGTATGACAGGAACTCACTATAAGTTAGAAGACGACGAATGAAATGCTAACTAAAAGGTTCAGGATATATCGGCCGTATTCAGATGGACCCCAACCCATGGAACTCATCAGCTTTCCAGACCCAAATCTGCTGCATCATCATCGCCCCGACCTTCATCTGCGCTGCCATCTACCTCACCCTCAAGCACGTCGCCCTCGCTCTTAGCCCAGAACTCTCACGAGTTCATCCTCGATGGTATCCGCGCATCTTCCTCCCCGCCGATCTCTCATGTCTCATCATCCAAGCCATCGGTGGCGGTGTCGCAGCAGCCGCTAAGCGCAATGAGCCTGACCTCGCTAGGAACGGCAACCGAACCATCATCGCTGGTGTTGTCCTCCAAGTCATCGTCCTCCTCGCCTTTGGAGCCATGGGCACCGATTACTACCTGCGCGTGAAGAAGTACCTCCATAGCTCAGAGGCTGCCCCTGAGTCGCTGCGTGTCTGGCAGGACAAGAAGTTCCGCATGTTTGGCTTTGCTGTTTCGGGCGCCTATTTTGCCATTCTCACTCGTTGCATTTACCGGTTAGTGCAGAATCCTCATTTATCCTATCTTCTTACATCAGCTGACGCGAGAATCTGTAGAATTGCCGAAATGGCTGGTGGTTGGGGTAATCATATTATGCAGGATGAGCCTAGTTTCCTCGTCCTCGATAGCTCCCTTGTACTCATCACTGGCTTCCTGTTAACAGCCTTCCACCCTGGAATCTTCTTCCCGCAGATGGCTGTCACTATGCAGCGCACTAAGAAGACTGAGGCCGAGACTCCTGCAGAGTCTTCCAGTGAGGAACGAAAAGTTGAAAACTCCCAGACTGCTTAGAGGGATATGGAATAGCTTAGGATAGGGTATAGGGAGCGATATTTGTTATTTGGTCTTATTTGAAACTAGGGCGCGGGATATAGGGACGATATTAGATCAGATCTTGTAGACTCGGATGAGTCCAAGTTGAGCGTGTCTTGATAATGCTTTCTATCGATATTAGGATTTGACCAGTCTATCGGCTTCTCCATCGTCATCGCTATCCGTCTCTTCTTCCTCGTCATCTTCTTCTTCCTCCTCCTCCGATGATTCCTCTTCTGTCTCTTCTTCCGTCTCCTCGCTTTCTTGCTCTTCTTCTGCAAGCCAGTCATCCAAAGTCTTAGCACCCACTGCTTCGCCCGTGCCAGTTCCTGTGCCGTTTGACTTGCTAGGCATGACTGTCTTGACCGCCTCGTCGAGTCTCTCACTGGCAGGCAGTGTGCTTCTTTCTACGTCATACCTAGAACTTTGGCTGCCTTCGGGTTCTCGAAGTCGGCGATCAGGCTGTTTTCCTTCCTCGACCCAGTCAGGTAAGGGTTCATAGCCCCGAAGACCATGAATACCACCACCACCTGCAAGCACCAATGTGGAAGAACCTAGGAGGAATCCCTTTCGAGATTCTGATGGACTCGGGGCATGTGGTGCTGGCTTCTCAGCAAGGAGCATCAGCGTCGCCAGCTGGGGAACTGCGAGAAGTGATCGATACATTCTCGCACGATCACGGAGATCAAACGATGTATCATATCTCACAAGTAGCAGGACATATTCCCATAACCTCAGAATGGGATGAGTATCTGTATCCATAGGCGAGTCTTCCTCAGCGTCCCTCTCCTTTTCAGCTTCAGTCCTTCGGTTGAGATGATGGAGATAAACCTTAGCCGCCAAGAGCAAAATCTGTTGCTTAGCAACTGGCGATTCATTAGAAAACTCCTTGAGCAAGATGCGAAGAACATCCGGCGCAATGTTGTCCTCTCCATTTAGACCTGAAAATTCACCCACAAGCCAGATGATTGTAGCACGAGCCTGGGGGTCAGTTGCAGAGTCGAGATTCTTTGCTAGGCGAACAACCGTCCCGACATGTCCCTGGACGTCCTGTTGTATCAGGTGACGAATGACTGTTAGTGACTCGGCAGCGAGGGTGCCGTCCAAGCTGGTGATTTGACCCAGGAGTAACTTCAAGCATCGAGGAGCTGCAGAAGTATCAGTCTGGGCGCAGCGGCCAATAGCACGCACCGCCTCTCGAACCAATGCTTTGTTTGTTCCCTGTGAGAAGTGTTCAAGTTCCTTCAGAATAAGACTTTTAACGTGTGGTGGGCTGTGAGGAAAGATAATTGTCAAGATTTCCAACTTCAATTCCCACACAGTGGCAGTATCGGTGGCTCGAACCAGGAAATGGCTGGCATATTTGACGAAATCGGTGGGCCGAAGAAGACAAACGGAGACGATGTTGAAGAGAGCAGTCTCCTGGATATCCTGAGCTCCACGAAGCAAGGCGATCAAGGGGCCAATAGCTTGCTTCACGTACTCGGGCGTTCCGATATCGACATAGCACCGAGTGACAGCGACAACAACACCAGCATTCCTACTCTGCAGTAAAGGTCTGATGCCATTTAGCAACAATGCTAGATCCGGGTCAAGCACTGAAGACCCCTGGCTGAGGCTACCTTGTCGCGATTCGCCGTAAAAGTCGTCCACTCGCTGGTCCTGGGAATTTTCATTCGATTCGTCTGGCGACTCTGTCCTTCGAGGGAAGCACTTTCGCGCATAATACATCATCAGTCGCAGTGTTGCCAGTTGACTCCATTCATCCATATCCACCACTTGCTTGATCAGCGTGCGATAATTCTTATGAATAAGGTCTATTCGGTCGGGGCAAATCTCGAGGAAAGCTGAGACGGCAGCTCCAGCAACATAGTATTGCTTGTCACCCAGTAAGGTCGTCAAGTAATCGATCAACTGCGGCGCTTGACTCGGGTCTAATCGATGACATTTCGGAATCGCAAGGGCAGCTGCTTTCCGCACGTAGGGGCTCATGTCGGCCACACCCTTCTTGATAGCGAGAGATACAATCTGGCTGATGACGGGAACTCGAATTCCGGACATGGTCTTGAGGGCGAGAGCTCGGACTTGGGGGTTCTGATCGGATAATGATTTCTGAATAGTGTTGATGGAGAGGAGTGCGAGATCGGGCTCCTGTTCGGCATGGTGGATGAGGTATATGTAGACAAGCTTCTTGATTTCGATATTCGGCGAAGCGACATTCTTGACGACAGAAGAGAATAAGGGTAGAGTCTTGTGGTTTCGATACATCATCTGCCTCGTCACTATCAGCGCCGAAATACACAGTCAAGAGAACAGCACCACGCACCGCCATAACACGCCGTAGACCCTCGAGGACCTCGCGCTCGTTCCTGCTATCCAATAACTTCCTCATCTGGTTCCGATCCAAAGGTCTTGAGCTCGTGCGCGCACCACGCGTCGCCTGGGCAGCATCGAGGGTGAGCTCCCTCGCTGTAAGATCGATCAGTCAATTTTAGCGACAGATGAAGCGGTCAATAAGGAGACGTACCGGTCTCCATGAGACTCGAGATCTTCGCTATTGACTCCATTGCGCGAGTGAGCTTTTTCCAAGCTTACGCCGCGTTTGAGAGGAGGGTGAGCTTTCGAGGGCGGGTTTTAGTGTAGGTGTTTGAGATGACGTTGAGTGATGGCTGTTGCGGACTGTGGAGGTGGAGGGACGTGACATTTGGTGGGGAGCTCAACTACCTGCCCTTACTAAGTAAGTAAAGACATTACAACTGCATCTTTATATCAACACATTGGCCTGAAAATTAAGAACAATATTCAAGTTAACCAAAATGACATGATGCCAATCATTCCACAAAATGTATCATCAGGATTTAAGTATGCGATAACAAAGCTCGAAACTCAACTCTCTTCTGTTTGCTCAACCTTGTTGATATGAGCTACCCTGGATAAACTCAATGGTAACATCACAACCATGGAATCCTTCCAACCCATCGTCGTTTCACCACAAACTCCTTCCGAGCTTCTATCGTACATCATATCCTACCATAGATACCCTTCGACAATAATAGTCGGATCGTCAAAGGAAGAGTTTCAGAGCTCACTCATTGAGGAAATAACACACCATCTTACTCTTCAAGAGGAACAACAACAACCCAACTACCCAGGCAACTCAGAGACGCCGTCTTCTCATCATCTCCTAAAGGCACCTCTCTACCAAATAGCTATATCCCGCCACATTAGATTTATATTTGCACCAACCGTCACACATCTACGTGCCTTTCTCTCCGTCTTTACACCACAGGATTCTCCTATACCAGCACCACCAAACTATACGCCCACTTCTCGACCACCACTACTACTAGTTTACGGACTCCTAGCTCTTCACAGGGACGCAAGTGAATGGTCTGCACAAGGAATCGGTAACTCAGCCGCTCTTTTAGTCGATGCTGCCTCACGAAACGAGTTTAGAGCTGCCATAATCGAGCCAAAAGGGATAGGAGGTCACGATACCCTGGATCATCTTGGAGGAGAGATGATACCTCTGTTGAATGGCACATCAAGAAGAGACGATGGACAATGGAGCGGACGAACTGCCAGTGCTAAGCAAGTCCTGCGCCGATGGTTCGAATTCGATACTCGTGAACAATAAGCTTGAATTCGTTGGGGCACTCACTCCCATGATAAACTTGGCCAAGTTTCTATCTATCTTGTCAAGTGCACGATATACTCAACCATGTATTTATTACTAAATGAACATCAAATCGTTATTTTCACGATGAAAATAGTCATACTAAGCGTCAACATTAACATGGCGTCATTACAGCCTTCAACGCCAACCCAAGGTATCTATCCCAAATATTGCCGCCAACCATAACATAAAGCATGACAAACACCGAAACTACCGTTGGACAGACTTAAGCAATAGCCTGCTCCATCTCAGCAATGTATAGCTTGATGTGTGCTTCCATCTTGCGGTACTCTTCATGCGCACTATGAACCTCATTCTCAATGTTCTCCTTCAAGTCGAGCATCTATGCACATGTTAGTAAACTGTCACTCATGAATAACCTTGCGGCACAGCTTACCTTTTTCTCAGTCTGCTCGATTCTGACACGTCGAACCTCCATCTCCTTGCCCTTCTCAGTCTGCTCCTCAGTGAGCTGCTTGTGCATTGCCCGGAGCTCATGCATCTTCTCCTTCGCCTCCCTTGCCTTCTGGTTGCTCTGCTCGCGGAGTTTCTCTGTCCTCTCTGTCCACTTGCTCAACTGACGTTTCAGCATAGTCTCGGTGCGCTCGACTTCACGCGCGTTGTTACCGCGCTCTGAGAGGGCATCACGCTGCTTTGCATTACGTGCTAGTTCTTCCTCTTCCTTGGCCAGCTCTGCAGCGATCTCATCGAGGATCTTTATGCATGATGCAACATCTGTGGAGACGACTGAGAATGAATCCGTTGAGGTCTGCAAGGCTCGTGCTCTTCGGTCCAATGCGTCGATGTGTGATTTATCGTTATTGAGAATTTCACGCAGCTCGGCCAAGTTCTCCTGAAGATCTGAAGCGCTCTGGAGCACATAAGGTCGCAGCTTTGTGCTTTCCTGTTTCAAGGTAACCTTTTCGTGGGTCTTTTGTTCCAACACTGCAGTGAGCTCGCCCTTCTTCTGTTTGGCCTCTTCCAGACGTGCAGCAACCCTTTCCTGGTTCCGTCGAAGCTCCAGCAGTCTCTTCTTGAGCTCCTCGTTCCTCATCGTCTTTTCTCGGACTTGCGCCTCCATGGCTTTGCGGTTATGTTTCATATCTTCTAGACGGCCCTCGTTCTCCTGGTTCTCGGCATAGAGCGTCTCAATGCGTGTCTTTGTCGACTCTGCCTTGTTATAGTACTGGTCGATAACAGCCGTTTGTGACTCGCGGAATCGAACAAAATTAATTAGGTAACTGAAGATCTTGACGAGGCGATCATATGTCGGTTTATACAAGTCGTTGAAGCTGAAATCGGTGATGCCGCACTCAAACAACAGCCTGCGCAGCGACACGTAAAAGCCCATCAGGTTACGAGTGTCCGGAGGGATGACATCCGAGTATTCTCCAACAATATCCTCGGCGGCAGCTCGCATGGCCGGCTCAACAGACTCACGCGTCGCATTGAGGAGGAGCTCGGCGAACCACTCAAAGATTTGCTGAACATGTGCTGCATTTGGCTTTTGAAGATCTGCGACGGTGAAGTTGATGCCGATGTCGGTGATGCAGCCAACGATTTCGCGGTCGGGGAGACGCATAAAAGCATCTGCCTCCTCCTCCTTTTTTCGTGTCCGCGATTGCTGCTGCGAGGTTGGGATAATGCTCATTCGCGGATTGTACGCCATGGTTGTGGTTGTGTTTTATCCTGTCAAAATTGTGTTCTCTCCTTTGGCTGCGCTTTTGGCTTAATTAGTTTGTCGCGATTACGGATACTGAGAAGCATAAACACCATATACGTGTTGCCGTGGAAACATGGAGAAGTGGCATCACGTGATGGCATATCGCAGCCCAACTCCGTTGTGTCAGTATTGTTTCAGTAAATGGAGATTTGTGCAGATCTTAAACAGTGGCTTCAGACAAATACGACAGATGTCTTTGATAAACGATGTCTTTACTATTGGTCATGTTTAATTTCGTCCCTAATTATGGGAAAGTTTTATCTTTGAATCCTGTGACTGATCTCGGTCGATATGTGATGACCCTTGACCACTCAGGAGGTACTTGAGGGATACTAGGTATGCTGAGTGTCTGATACTATGATAATTCTGAGCTTCGATCCATCATCTCATCTCGAAATAACACTTCCGAAATCCAAAGAATGCTGCAGGGAGAAGCACTGACATGTTCCACATAACTGCTATCAGTGACGTTTCGCTCGTATCACTAAATATAGTCCAGATGGTCACCAGCATATCATTGGCGAGAATCGACTGGTGATCCTTGACTATTCTGCACTTGTTCGTCTCACTTGCAGCCGTCAACTCGTCTCTGTGCATTTGCAACCTGTGAATTAATCACTCAATTCGCGTGGCTTGGTAATGCAGCAGATGCAAGCACAGTCCAGTAAATTGCCGTGACATCTAGTCTCTGCGGCACGCAGTGAACAGTCGCTCAGTATGGCTAATACTACCTCATACAGCGACTCAGCGAAAGAATGGGCTGTCGGCCGTTTGGTCAAAACTCTTCCAAGGGAACGTGTTTGTAAGCCAGTTCCTCAAAAATCTTCGTCCCACGTTGCCAGCTCCAACCACAACTTCTGCGTACAGTATCTCATCCACGTGGCGGTACGCCAGCACGCCCGATCCAGCCCCAGGACGTTTCATCGCTTTTTGATCAATCAAAGTGGCGTCCCTGAAACGAAATCACCGTTCTCTTACTCTAGCCTGTCTGCTTGTCCAGGGGGTAGGGAAGCTCGAAGTCTGAGTACCTAAAAAAGCAAAAGCTCTACGACATTGAAACATGAGATCGGTTGGCCCAAAGCCTAGTCCCCAGAACCAATACTCCCCAATGAAACAAGGGCTCAGGGGCATCGAAACGCTGGGACAAATCTGCCCCGATCGACTCTGACGAAGGAGCAAACCTAATCTTCGCTTCTGCCGAAGAGATCATCAAGCCCATTTACTCCGTACTGGTTCAAGAACTGATTGACTCGCTGGTATTGACCGCAAATAGTCCTTGGCTCGGAAATTGGCTAGAAACCCATTGAAATAGGCAACGGGAAGCGACATGTATCTTGTTGTGCGACGCAAACATCCCCCGGCTATTGGCGACGACCAAAAAGAAGCCTTCAGAAATCCTCTTCATGCATGACTTGACATGCATGGTGCCTTGCGGAAACCTTTCTTGGACAAGGAAACCCCGAGTAACTTGCTAAGGTTACGGAGGGATGGGCCGCCCTTTGTTTCCGTGGCGGGCGCCGGGAGCGCTAAGATTCACCACTGTTAGACAAGGATCCCATCCTCTACTGCATGATTGAGAGTGTCGTTGACATTGCAAGATGTCGCAAGCTTGAAAGACGATCTCTCGGTGATCATCTTGTGGTTTCTCAGCCGTTAGGATTCAGAGATGGCACACGATTCGGGATCACTGACCCAACTGTATTTTCATTGGCCAATCTGAAGTTCGGGTGAAGTCAAAAAGAACCCTCTGGTCCCTGATTCGCAACGTTCCTCAGGCCCAAGCTCCACGTTGCAACGGTCGTGCTGCGGGAGTGCTCTAGTACAGTACATATACGGAGTACGTACTAAGGCATATTCCGCGATAGGTAGACTGGGCAAACTTGCCGACCATGCCACGGTGATGTATGACAAGTTCATTGTGTGACGTCGAATATGTAACTTCAACTCTCATGAAGGCTAAGCTGAGCCGGTCTGACCTGTCAGCTTGTATGATTGAAAGAAATCCTGAAATGCAATTGATCGACACAGAGCTTCAATTCGGTAATTGTTGACCTGAACTGCTCGTGTAATCATGACGCTCATTTCCATGTCGAGGTTGGATCGACAGTAGGAGGGGACGAAAACTTGGTTCGGAAATAACCCTACCCATGCTTGCCATGTTCTTGATAGAAGTCCAGGATTGTAAACAGTGCCTCTGGGGACTCAAACATTGAAATTTGAAAGAAAGAAGCAGAAAGATCCCAGGGATCAAATACGGTAATCGGCCGTATTTGTTACCCTGCCGTATTAAAAACGAGCTGGCCTTTGCGGCTATCCTAACTACTTGATAACCTTGTGGCTTCGTTAAGCTTCTGGTGAATGGTGATAGACAGGGGCTGTATCGATCATCACATTCCAAAAGCCCAAGCTGGCTAAGATTCGGTCAGCACTTTCTAAGCATCGGCTGGCGGATACGAAGGCCCCAGAAGGCAACGAGAAATCAAGTGTCGGGGTTTAAGAGAAGTGACTTCGTACTTTGAAAAGATAATACGAAGAAACACGCAGGGACGGCGTAGACGGGACAGGCGCAAGTCGCATGGGTCCTGATGCGAGGTACATACTTAGGTAGGTATCGGTACCTGGAAAACGGACGAGAGAGGCTTGGCAAAAAGGCTCAGGTACAGGACACCTGATGCCGTCTGCCAATCCAATGGAACCTCTGCAACGTGCTACGCACAACAAATCAATTCGCAGCTACAGCACTGGGCTGTACAAGGTAGTTTCGAAACATTGCTTTGTCCAAGTCAAGCGCTCAACCTCAAGGGGGCAGAAGAGGGAGGGAGCAAGCACAGTGGCCTCTAGCGACTCTCAACACGCGCCGGACGGTTGTGAGACATGACTGAACAGGTGCAGTAGTCACCTAATGGCAAGGGGGCGGGGATTTTGGCGTGACAGCCTCGATCGCGTGGCGGCGAACGAGATCTTCGGACAGGGCGAAACGATGTCCCCTGTGGCCTTTGTCGAACTATCCGTAGCGTCCAACCCAATATCTGTTGATAGTACGGAGTACATACTGCACTCAATCGTGTGGCGGGTGTCGTGAACCACGAGACCAGCTATCGCGATTCATCGTGGCCGCGGGAGGAGAAAGAAGCCGGAGAGAATAAGCGACGATAACGAGAGTATCTGACATGTGCCGATGGCTGCTTGGTCCATGGCTACTACCTATTCATTGATATCCCGCGAGGAGACGGAAAAG